CAAAGTCATTCACTTGTGAATGATGTTGTTGGGGATAATGTGAGGAGTGCATAAACAAAGAGAATGCGGATAAGCTACAGAAGTAGAAGGAAGAAATAAAATTTGTAACGCGAATGCATACATAGCCATAACTAATAACGAAGTATGTGATAGGGGGTTATGCTGGGGATGCCTAAAATAGACTATGACCAGAGCGATCGTGGCCGTAGCCATGGTAAAAATAATGACTGGAGTCAATGTGGCCGTAGCCATAGTAAGAGATGATGACCAGAGTCATGGTGGCCAGAACCGTAATAAAAAGTGATGACCGAAGTCACAATGTAACCAGAGCCATAATAAAAAATGATGACCGGAGTCATAGTGGCCGGAGCCGCGATAAACTATAAAGACCGTAGTCATAATGGCCGGAGCCATAATAAAATATAATGACTGGAGTCATAATGGCCGGAACCGAAGCGAAGTATGTGACACTGGGTCACTGTGGCGATAGCCGAAGTGAAATGTGTGACAGTAGGTCACTATGGCCGAAGCCGATGTGAAATGTAATGTAGGATTATGGTGGCTGAAGCCGAAGTGAAACACTTGCAAAAATTGAAAATGTGTAAACGTGAGCAAGGGTGTTGAAATGGTTTAAGTGGGCCCATCTGAGAAGTCTGGCAAAGGGGCAGTACGTGGTGTGATAGTTGTCCTTTGAATGACGTGCACAATAAATGCGGCCGTAAAAAGATAACTGCAACAGTTAAACGGGCAGATTTAAAAAATGAACCGTTGAGTCCAAAACGGTGCCATTTGAGGTTGGCCATCGAATTCCAAATTGTGTAAATAAGAACTGTAAAATTAAACGAATCCTAGCCGTTGAGATCTAATTTTTCCCAGAGGTATAAATAGGCATTTTTTCTGCAGAAAGAAGTTTACTTGCATTTCATTTTCTGCAAATTTTCTGCAAAAAGCTTTTATTGTGTGCTTCCTACGCGTGAAGTGCTGCAGCATTTGGGGATTTCCACATCAAGCTTTCAAAACCGAAATCAGGTAATGCATACGAGCCTCTGATTTTGGTTTAGTCGAAGTGTCACTCTCTTTTCTCCCTTTCTGTGGTTGATTTAGAGTCCTCTGAAGGAACTTAGGGTTAGAGGTAAGAATGATTTTGAACGTGTGTTAGAGGGGTTTTTTTTTTTTTTTTAAAGGGTCACGACTTCATTCCTCCCCCCTACTTCGTGCAGAGATTGAGAAAATATTTTCAGAAGAAACAGTAAGTGTAGTAGGGAGTGAGGTGATGCCCCTAGATTATGGGAGCATGGATTCGGAGAGTAGTCCGTCTCCATCTAGTTCAGAGAAAACGGTGGAGGGGGTGAGAGGAGATGAGGTGGTGGAGGTTGGGGGGAATGAGATGGTGGGGGTTGAGGGGGATAGTGTGCCCATTACTATGGTAGAAATAGAGGGTAGAATAGAGAGAGGTTATGATGCAGATGCGGACATAGTGGAAAAGTTGAAGCAGTACAAATTTGAACTCAAGACCAGGGATAGCCTGGGTCATTTAGTGGAGAATTACGAGATCTCCTCCCGAGTATTAGTTAGGCTAGCTGGGGTAGAGGAGAGAGCGTGTTCTACTCCTCGGGATCATTGGATGCCTGTATATGCCCACTATTTGTTTGCTGGGCTTAGGTTTCCAATTCCTGAGTTGCTTGTAGGTTTGCTATTAGATTATGGCATAGGGTTGAGACAGTTAGTCCCCAACGCTATGAGGGTAATAATAGGATTTTTAGTTTATTGCCGAGCTCAGGGGATTAGTGTGCCAACTGTAAATATGTTTAAGTATTTTTTTGTTTTGAAGGGGGGTAGTAGAAAGGATAAGGGGTGGTATTATTTCACTCCTAGGGTAGCAAATAGGGAGAGTAGGGCGTTGTTTACGGCGAGTCCTTCATCCATTAAAGGATGGAAGGAAAAATTCTTTTTTGTAGATGATACGGAGTGGGAGAGGAGGGATAACGAGGTGAGGGAGTTAGCATCCTAGAAGGCGAAAAGAGCCAACCATAATAAGTTTAGCTTAAACGAGGATGTAATACCCCAAAATTTCTAGAGCATTAAAGTGAGTTAGGGACTTGTTTGAGAAAGAAATATTGTTTTGGGCTTAATAGCCAAAGTTTGAAAGTTGAGGGGCTTAAAAGAGTAAAGATATTGGATAAGGATCAGCCTTTTTCTTTTCTTTTTCTTCTTCTTTTCTTCCCCAGCCATTTCCCGATTCTGCTCTTCTTCTTTCCGCTGCAGCCCCCAAAACCCCCCCCAAGCTGCCGGCAACAAGTTTTTGAGGAAAACCAGTAAAAGCTTAGATTTTTCCCTTCTTTTTTTGTCCAAGAACCTGATTTAGAACCCAGAAATCTTTCCCCCTGCAGGAAGCTCCCGGATCTGCTCTCCTCTTCCTCCCCTGTCCGCCGGCTGCTCTTGTTGTGGGTGAGATTTTCGGTCTTTCTTGGTAAGAAGTAGCCATGAAATTATCTCTTTAGCTTTGATTTGGGCTTGGGTTTACCTTAACTCCCTTTTGGTTCTTGAATTTTCGGTAATTTTCCCAGAATTTCCCCTGCACATGCCGTCGGCCTCTCCCCCCCTGCAGCTCCGGTTTTAGCTGGAGAATTATGGTATGTTGACAGCCATTTAAGGCTTAAATTATCCATTTGTTTGCTACCTTGTGTGTGTCCGAAATTCTGTAGAAAATGGGGATAATTCCGGTAGCTGTAGGATGAGATTTAAGTACTAATTCAAGTGGGTTTTTGTTTAATTTAAGTGTAAATTGCTTGAGTTGATTGCTGTGTGATTTTTGGAGAAAATCCCGTGAGATTAGCTAGTGTTTTGGCCAATTGGTGGAAGTGGAGTTACTGTTCACGTCGGGGTATTGTTCACCGACACTGTTCACACACCGAGGGTCAATAATTAACGGGAAAGTAAATGATTAGTTTGTGATATAAGAATGAATTTGGAGATATTTGATCATGTGGAGTTTGATAGGAATAATATCGTGATTAGAGATTTGTAGTGATGATTTCACTTGAGCTGCGATAGTGCGATATTGATTCTGAAATGTTTTGATTAGGTTCCCGATCGTTCTGTCAGTTAGTACGTGAATTGAGTGCTCAGTTTTATGTGAAGTGAGGTAAGTAAATTATGGTAAAACCCTTCGATTTTAAAGCATGTTTTAAATTGTTTTTGAGATGGTGGCAAGGTTCAAATTGATTTTAAATTGATTTTAAATTGATTTTATCAGCATTTGAGTGTGATTAAACTGGAATGAAAATTGTGATGATTTCTATAAGACTTTCACTATTTTTCTGGAATTGAGCATGAGTGGAATGAAAATGAGAATTTCATTGTTTTTCTGAAGTTGAGCATGCCTATTTGGAAATTGACTGAATTGTTTGATGAACTGAGAGTTTTTGTAAATTCTGAGTTTTCTGTTAAATCCATGCTCACATGGAGATTTTCCGGTTGTTTTTGAGATTGGGGATTGACTGTCCTGATGATCTGAAAGTGATTGTGAACTGTGATTTTTCTGTTAACTTCTGCCTGTTTTGTCTCCGATATGGTCATGTATTCATGTGCCCGCTAGTGGGAGGTTTATAAACGCTAGCACATGTCGACATGTTCGTGATAGAATCGGTTCGCTCGTGGCCCTACTAGTGGGGATTATACACTAGTACTCGTGTGCCCGCCAGTGGGAGGTTTATAAACGCTGGCCATGACCTATAGAGGAGACGTCTATTTCGTGCCCGTACTGTATCCGTTTTTCGTGATTACACTTGTTGGCATGCTATGAGTTTAATTGACGGTTTGTCATTGAATGTTTTGCAAGTGAACTGAATCTGATTTTGCATTGACGGTTTTGTCATTGAACGTTTTGCTATTAAACCGAGTTTGATTTCTGCATTTACGGTTTATCAGTGAAAATTCTGTTATACTTACATGGTTTATCTGGCATGCTTATATTTTTACCCAGGGGCTACCCATATTTACTTACTGAGTTATCTCATAGTTTTCATAGTTTTCCTTGTCCACCATTTCAGGGAGTGAAACCGAGGACGAGGAAACCAAGGGGAGTGACGAGTTAGAAAGCTAGCCATCTTGTAATTGAATATGGATTTTAGATGTAAATGATGATATTGCAAGCTAGATTGTAATTGGAGATCGTATAAATTCATTTATTGGATAAGTTCCGAGCCTTGTGCATTTGTGGGACCCACTCACGAGTGCACGGCGTCTATCGCGCCTCGAATTCGAGTTTTGGGGCGTTACAAAAAATTTAACACCATCAAATGTAAAATTATTTTTAGCTAATTTTATACATATATATACTTTGATTAAATTATCAATTATAACACTACATATTTATACTTAATTTAGTCATTATATATACACAAAATATAAATAATATTAATTAAAAATAATCTTACATTTGATAGTGTTAAATTTTCATTATCAAATTTATGATTTATGAGATATATAATATTTATAAAAACTATTAGTGGAAAGTTAAATATAACATATATATATCTACAAAATTTTGACATAATCGACAGTCACTATGGTTGTCGATTATACTTTTATAATCGACATAATTGGCTGTCGATTATAAGTATATAATCATCAAATTATCATAATCGACAAAATTTTTGTTGTTTATATTAATATAATCGATCGTTTTTTGGTTGTTAATTATATTTTTGTTGGTTAAATGTTGTTTTCTAGTAGTGTGTGGCTGACTTAGAATGGTTGTAGTCAAAAAATGATTTAGGGATAATATTTTTTATCACCTTTTGGAATAACCTTATGTGTTATTTAAATGATTGGCTCTTTTCATTCATTTGGGACTCGTAATATTAAGTGCATTCACTCATTTAATGATATATAAAAATTATATAAAAAGTAGTATAAAAAAGTTGTACTTGAATCATTGCCCAATTCCAATCTAGTCTACATGACATGGAATGTGGATGTTACTTAGAGAGGGCAAATCTCTTCAAGTAACTGTGTTTTATTTGAATTAGGAAGTTTGGAGGATTTTTAGGTGTTATACCTATGATTTTGATGATTACAAAACACATTTCAGTGATTGATTGGTTCATTTAAGTGTGTAGTTAAAATGTCTAAAGATTGCAAAATAAGTAAACTTGGACTGCACTTAAAAATGGACCAGAAAGGCTTGAATATGTGCAGAGAGCCGGCTCTTAAAAGCTGCAGCCGGCTCTGGTGAAATGGAATGCAGAGAGCCGGCTCTGGAAGCTGCAGCCAGCTCTACGAGTAAAGATTTAAAGGTCCGTTGTTTGGCGCATGAGAAGAAAAGACGCAAAACCGACTCCAACTTTGCAGCCAGCTATAAGGGTGCATTTAATGCACAACAGTCGACTTATTTGAAGAATAATTAATAGTTTTTAAAGTCGGAATACCAAAGCCGACTTTACGTTTTAACAACTGGCTGTCCAAGAAAACAGAACGTTCAACAAACCCGCAAAGCAAAGCGAGCTTTGCGTTTTGCAGCCGGCTCTACAGAGAAAACAGAATGTGCAGAATCCCGCAAAGCCGACTGCAAAAATGGTGAGCCGGCTGTGTAGAGCCGACTCTAAAAAGTTAAGCCGGCTCTCCTGACAATTTTGTAACTCGAATTAAGCGACCTGCAGAGCATTAAATAACCCCTAACGGCTAGTAACGACTATTTTTGAACATTGAGTTATAAATATAGTTGGTAAAAGATCTGAAACAAGTTTAGAGGGCATTGTATTGAATAGCTTTACCTACCAACTTGTGCTTTAACTTGAGATTTTGATCTTTGAGAGATCTTTATTTGTAATCCTCTTCTTGTTCTATTTGTGAGTGATCTTTGGGGTGTGATTATTCCTTCAACAGTGATTTGTAGAGAAGATTGTTTGGGTTTAGCTTGTAAAGGGGTGAGATTTGAGAGAAACACCTTTCTTCTTGTAAAAGGATTGAGTGGCTCCTTTAAGCCACCCTTGATTTTGTAAGTGGAGAGTGTAGAGGAAATCTTTGGTGAGAGAAGCCAAGGTAGAGGACTAGGTTCCAAGTGGTTGGACCGAACCTCTATAAAATCATTAAGCAAGTTCTTTTTCTCTACTCTCTTTAATTTTTGTGTTGTGGTTGCAAAATGGGAGAATTTTTGGAACACCAATTCACCCCCTTCTTGGAGTACATTGAGTCAACATTAGAAGGAGATCAAATTAGGGTTAATTAGAGTTGGATTGAAGATCAAATATAGTTGGCGGACTTGGAGTAAAATAAGAAACTACTGCTGCTAGATGGAGAAAAGTCAAACGTGTATACGGAGGTTGCGGGGAGTGGGCCAAAAAATATGAGGAACTCCTCTAGCAACGAAGTAAAAGAAAGCAATGGAGGAAAATTCAGTTTTTTCAAGCCTACCGTTCTTAAAAGTTGACTAGCGCACTTCTTCTTTGCTTTGAATCAATCTACTAGTTTTCTACACAAATTCTAGATTTCAGTTTGTAGATTTCTTCTTTGATATTATTTGCAATTTTCGGTTCTAGAACTAGGAAGTGAACGAACCTTGTAACTTGAGTCTCTCCTATTAATTTGGTTAGTATTTTTTCAATGAATTCTACTTCCTTAAAGAGATTTATATTACGATTGTCTGCTTACTTTCATCATCATTTTTTCTTTGCAAAGTTCGTGCTTTTAGAAGTTGTTTTCTTTGGATGTTCATTGTTTGTAGATCTCATCAATTTCCAAATTTCAATTAAAAGTTCTTAATTTTGATTCTCATGTAGGTTGGGTAGTCTTAATCTAGTTTGGAATTAAATTGAATTAGTTTATAGAATTGAGTGTGTTTTGGATTGTGGTTTGAAGTTTTTTCTTATAATTGTACAGTCCTTTTAAATAAATGTATGTTTGGTAATTTTTTTTAACTATTTTAAAAAAAAACTATAAATAGTGACAGTAAATTTATAGTAATTTATATAAAAAGGGAGAAGTTTCTTTTTTGAACTTTTTGATTATGACTTTCATAAGTAACACATAATATTTAATACAATTACAAAATTACCCAAAACTCTACCTCATTTAGTTCAATTATATCATAATTTATAATATTTTATTTAAATTTAACCTCTAATTTATTTGAAGATTTCATAAAAATAAAAAATAAAAATTCATTCCCTCCCTATGAGTTGCTCTCATGTGAAACTCAAAACAACACCCATCTTAAGAAACCTAAAAAACATAAATTATTAAGAAGTGGTAAATATCATTTATTTTAATAATTATATATCATACAATATTTTTTAATTTAACTAATAAAATTTACCATATTTCATCTATAATACTTTTAAAAAATAAATAATCAAATACCAAAACAACTTTTAATCGTAACTACAGCACAACACAATTTAGCATAACATAATTCAACACAACTATATTTATAGCTATGGCCATAGCACCTCACAACAATCCTAAACGCACTCTAAGACTTAGTTTGTGTCTTGATTTTAAGTTAATTGGGAAGTGTTTTAAATTTATAGAATTATTTTAAAGTTGATTTCTGAAATTCAATATGGTCTGCATAGTGATAACTATACACTTTGTACGTTTGTAAAGTTTCCAATTTGCATATTTCCCTTAAATGCACGTTGTTTCAGTATTATTTTTAGTTATATTATTTAGAATATGGTGTTCAATTTAACATTAGTAGCTTTGTGTACATTTTTGTAGTTTTAAAGTCTTTAGAGTTATTCAAGATAAGTAGTAATCCATTTTTGCAAAACACCATTTTTTGTTTTGCAACATCATCTAAGGCACAACAATTCATAGAACAATCGTCCTTTCAAGTATCCTACTTGAAAATCCTATTTTCTTGTTTTTTGGCAAAACAAGTGGCACACCTTAAACCTAGATAGCCAAGGATTTTTGGGGAAACAACAATGATGTGGTATTAAATATATGGATACTTACAATATCATATATAGCTTTCAATAAAAGATTTAATTATGTGGTATTACAAGCCTAATATTTTGTCCTTTAGGAAATATTTCAATAATTAAAATTTTAAGTCTTTATATGGAAGATCTTAGTTTGAATCATAGGATGTGTGAGGAGGGGTTTAGGAAGTAGATGGCTATATCTAGGAGTGGGCACTAAGTTTAGACTATCTGAACTAAATTGAATTTTTGTTTATTCAAAAACATTTCAAATGAAACTTACATTCCAAAATCAAACCAAATATTTGACTTGGTTATAATTTCAAATAATTGAAATTATTTGGATAACTTGGTTAATTAACCAACATTTTTATGTGCCAATATTAATGTATCATTATTCTCTATTTTTGGTTATTAAAAGCCTTTTCTTTTTAATTTTGATTAGTTTGATCCCTTTTAAAGATTCTTATCTATAAATTTGACAAAAAAAAAAAGAATTCTATTAAAAAATATATAATTATTTAATATTAAAAAATTTCATATAATTTAATAGCTCATATCAATGATTTTAGATATCGGTCAATAACCATATTCGAATTAAAATTAATTTCAATCACTTAGGTTTTATTCAAATTTATCTAAATATTCGAATTACCCAATCTAAAATTCAAAAATTTGAGTAAAAAATTTGGATATTTCAATAATATGTAAAATGTGCCCACCACTAACTATATCTTTTATGTGTATCCCATCATTCAATGCAAAATAATAATAATAATAATAATAATAATAATAATAATAAACCTAATATTTTCATGCCAAGATTCCGCCATTTTTTCCCCTGTAGAGAATTCCTCCTATTTAAAATTTTAAATTATATATTTATTTTTATGGGAAAATGGCAAGGATTTTTCCAATGCAACAAAGCACATACTGACAAAAAATTTAACTCAGGCATTAAAACATAACAATTCTAACTTAATATCCTATAGAAAATGCTCTAATCATAATCATAATGTCATATAATATTACAAAATTAAAATATAATATACTTTTATAATTAATTTTTTTTAACTCATTTAATACTATATTATGTTTTTCATTTAATATTATGTTATATATTTTATTTAATATTATGTAAAATTATAAAATCTTATATGACGTTAGTACTATAATATTATCAATCTAATATCAAGAATTTTTTTCTTTCATAGAGTTAACTCAAAATTGAGTTAGGCACAAGTTGACTAGAGTTAGGTAAGAATCAAGCTCGAGTTTGAACTCAAAATTAAACTCATAAAATCAAGTCGTCGAATTTGAGTTGAATCTAGAACTCAACTCACCTCAGCTTGATTCAATTCAATTGTATTAAAAAATAATTATATATTAAATTATTTGTCCTAAATAAAATATTTAAAATTTAAATTAAAATTAAATTTAAATAATCAATGAAACTTACAAGTTGAGTACAAGTTCACCAGTCAGGTCCAACTCATTAGTTGAGCTAACGAGTTGAATCTGAGTTTAGTGTATTTAAATTCAATAAAATCTTAAACTCAACCCAACTCTGTGTAGCATCAAGTTCGAGTACTAAAGAACTCGACTCCGACTTATTTACAACCCTAGTAATCCACCTAATCAATTAACCAATGTTTTCCTACCTCCGTCCAAATGCAGTATGCATCTTCCCTGACTTACACTTTTTGGCAATCGCTTCTTCCCTGACATTCCTTCGCAGCCATTCTCACTCCATACTCCATCCACACGGCCTTCTAACAATCCCTATACTTTCCCAGATAGAGCTTGCTCCATGGCTAATCTTTTGGTAATAGAAGACTTTGGGGTAAAGCGAACAGAGCCAAATTGTGGCAAATTATCTTGGGCTCCGTTTGCTAGAGTTAGGTAATTGTAGAGTTTTTTTTTTTTAATCTTTTTTTAACTAAAAATATATAAAACATTAATTAAAATTAGTAAAACTATATAAAAAATAAATTAAAATTAATTAAAAATTAAAAATTATATTTTTAAATAAGTTGTCATATAAAAGTTATATGTAAAATACTAATAAACAGCCTAGCTAACAACTGCCACACAGTAGAAACTCAGAAATCAGCCACCAAACACGCTAGACCGGGTAATAGTTTCCCAGCATCTATTTCCGACTGAAGGGATGGGGATGACTGGACGAGCAACCAAACATGCACTTCAAATTAACATTATGAATCCATTTCAGATCCAAACTGATGTCCAATACAGCACAACAGGATTACAATATCACACATAATCAGTGATTTTAGTGCTGAACTCAAAAATGCTTTTGAGATGCAAATGTCAAGTAACTACGCGCTAGAAACGGCAAGAAAAACCATCATATCCCGATCAAAAAACCTACGCGCTAGAAACAACCTTGACAAAAAGCACTTGCCCCCCTCTTCAATCAGTTTGCCATTGAACCACTTCATATAGAAGAATATTTGGATTCAATTTTTATATAAATGTGTTACAGATATAATCCATTTTGCCAAGTTTTTCTCAATCATGGCAACAAGAAATTAGAGTTAAGACTTAAGCTCATGCCCATCAAGTAAAGCTGGATAAAATTTAAAACCTGAGCTTCGTCTAACCACATGCACATCCCCTCTCAACTAGGGATGCTTGGATTTCTTTTTCTTCTTGGCAGGCTGCTCTCCAGTTGCTGCAATGTATGCTTCTGGATTTATTTTCTCAACAGATTTTTGCTTCCCAAATTCTTTGGCCTTTTTCTGCAATGCACCCAAGATTTAGTACTTTTTCTTTTTTTTTTGTTAAGCCAAAGAATTTTATTAGCAGGCACAAGGGATACCCAAACCCACCAAGATTTAGTACTGTTAACAGAAGATTTCACAAGGTACATATCTGATTTTATGAATATGAGACCAAAGAATACGAAGGTTATGATCAAGTTACCTTCAATGACATGGCAAGGGTAGCTACATCTTCCTTGTCATTGTCCATTTTGTCAGAGCCTTGCTTTATAGATTCCTGCAATACCACAAAAATTCATTTTTGAAAGCAGACAAAGAGAGGAAAAGGCATGATAAGAAAAAGGAGACAGAAAGAAGGTAAGAAAACCACTCCAGAATATAACCTTAGGAGGAATGAATGCTTCTTCTCGTTTTCTTTTGTTTTCAGCTGTTTTTTCTGCCTGCTTCTCTTGCTTCTCTTGCCATTTCTTTACCAATTTCTTCTTCTCGCTTAAGAAGTATTCTCCAGATTCAATTTGTAGATCAATCTGCCAATTATTAGCAAAACTCAAAAGACTAATAAGAACAAATCAAAAGATTAATGCATACTGTAGTTTGTCTCAACAAGCAGTATAGGAAAAAAAATAACAGATAGCACTCGTGCATAATTTTCCAAATAAACTGTCTCGCATGATTCCACAATCTAACTTTCAACATGGCCAGCATGAAAATGAAGAAATGAATGTTCTGGAATCTGGAGCACATATTAAAAGGCAGGCTAAGCTGAAAATAGTTGAAATTTCCAGGAGTCGTATTTGACTCCCTCTCCACACAAACACTTATGCATATACATGAACAGTACAAGTCCTCCCACTCCCACATTCCTTAAATATTCCCACTTATCCCATCCCCATGTTTCACAGCTTAAACATGTGACTTTGCAGCAACTGGGGCCCAGTATAACTAAAGATGCAAAGTAATCAGTTTATCATTGAAAATTAATAGAATAAACAATCAATGTCTCACCTTACTAGGTTGCTGAGGAGGAGGGAAGGGTGTATATGGTTTCTTTTCTTTACTCTTACCCTTCTTTTGTTTAACATTTTTCCTGGAAAAGAGAAACAAGTAATCAAAACATAAAATTAAACAAAACAATGTGTGTAATAAAAGGGAGCTTGAAACTAGATAAACATGTTTGAATAACAGAAGCTGAGTAGATATCATACTTCTTAAACTTCGGTAGAAACCTGTCCCAGTTTTCATTTTTAAGTGCTGGATCCTTCTCAAGTTCTTTCTTCATCATGAGAATCTAAAAAATGGAAAATAAAGAAAAGAGGAAGCAGAAGAGAGCAGGAGAGGGGAATCAGTGAATGTCAACAAATTTTCAGGAAAGTGTTAAAACTATATATTGTCTTTGGCAATTACCAAAAAAAAAAAAAAAAGGGCAATCTCATGCACCTTTATGTGGTATACAGGATGCATTTGATTCTGTATGCAGTCCTCCACAATCCTCCTAACTTGCTTTAAACCTTTGAATGAACCCATAGCAGCTACAGTGTTTCCCTATGAAATGAAATGCACAATGATCAATTTATGACACTTCATCCATATCAGCAAAGAAAATTGAAAAGAACAACAATCACCTGAACGAGAATGTAGCAACCAGTCAATATTTCAAGGGCCTGTATCCAGTAACATTGGGGAAGTAAGCCAGTGTAAGGAATCAAAGAAATATGTGAATGAGATATTATTTTGCCACATATAGCTGCAACCTTCATTCAATGGTTAACTTCAGAAGCATGTCCAACATCCAATACAAGAAAAAGCACACACCTTCAGAGTGGAAGAATTTGGACCGACAAGACGTTGCCTTCTTTTAACAAATCGTTCCTGAGAACACAAACAGACATCTTATCACAATCCAAACATTTCTGGTTGGTTGTCCGCTAACATCCATCACTATGAAGAGGTAACAATGGAGCATTACTGATACGGCAGTAAATCATAAAATATTGAGATTTCATCTGATTTAGTAGGAAATATAGAAGCCATTTAAGCAAAATGTTAATGAGCATGATAGTTGCAGCACCTACTAATTAATTCCATCATTGAGACTAGACAATAAAGGGTGTTTGGCAAAGCTTCTTTTTTTTTTTTCTTGAGTTTAAAAGCACTGTTTTCTCCAAACTTTTTGAAGGAAATGTTGCTTTTTAGCAAGTAGAGTGATTATATTCAAGTTTGGCACTAGCTTTTTAAAAACTTGCTTATATGCACTTTAAATGCTAAAAAGTAGTGTATCCCACCAATACTTTTTTACACTTGTAAGAGAAAAAAAAAAAAGTGCTTTTAAGCAAGTTGAAGAATATGCTCGGCCAAACAGACCCTAACCAAATTCTATATTGTGTGTAAATTTTACGTGGGTTCCTAACTACTTATGATCTAGTACACATGCTATTGGGTGCAATAAAACAAAAAATTCTGTCCTATTTGTTGTACTCGATGTTGAAAGACTTGTACATTAAGATAATGCATATCTCTGGTGCATAAAGTAACACAAACACTAGAAAGGAAGCATCGGCAGTTGAAGCCTTACAAGAAAGGAAAAAAAAAAAAATACATGAGGTTGGAAAACAAATTGAATCAGTTCTTGCTCTCTTTTTTTTTTTTTTTTTTTCTCTTTTGAATAACAATTGCTTGTACAGCATAAAAAAAATATTGAATGGGATAAAATTAATAAGTAATACACACCTTATTGCGAACCAAGTTGCCAATTTTGATGATGTCACATTGCATTTCATCATCCAGTACCTTGATTGCCTAGGACAGAAAAATAGTAAAATTGTCATAAAACTACAGAACCAGAACCCTTTAAATGCATTCTAGAAAAGAGCCTGAAAATACTCAAAGGTACCCATACAGAATATATCCTTAAGGAGCAAATGATCATCAAACTGAATTACTAATTTTAACGAATATATTGAAGGCATCAATTTTAAAACTCAAGCAATAAGTTCAGATCTTTAAAACAGAACATTCATACATCATGGAAAAACAAAAAAGGAAAAAGGAAAAAAAGCAAGGAAAAAAGAAAAGGCATAAGGTAAGGAATACCTGAGGTGCTGGGACACTTCTTGACAGAAGCTTAATTAGATCCCTGGCTTTGATAATTATATAAGGGTCTCTCGTCTTTCTTGTTGTTGAAACTGTCATTGAACCTTCAACCTGAATGACAGTTAAAAATATATATATATATATATCCCATGATGAAAAAATACTAAAGCACACAGTAGGAAAATGAACATAAAATGCAAGATATCAATCGAAAGATTCCAGAAGGACTTGAGAAGTATTCTCAAATACATCAGAATCATGTGTAACCCCAAACTGACTCTTTCAGTAATAGGAACCATCCAGTCTGACTTACATCAATTTAAAATATGCAAAACATAAGAAAGCATGCATAGCAGAAATCTAAATAGCAGCCAACATATCTCTATATACGTCTAGAAATTCTATTATACTTCGCAGTTGCCGCTCTTTACAAAAACCTTCATTCATTATTAAGTTGAGCATAATTTCTACATAGGTTAGTAATACGTCATGATTCACTCAATCCAGTGATTTGAGGGGGAGAAAAGCAAGTAAAGAAAAGTCAGCTTCCCACCTTCAAATAATTCGCTTGGCAGATATTTAGTAAATAAACAGTTGCAAAAACTTAATCTATGATTTAAAAACGCTTTCTGAAAAATAATGTAAGGGAAATCTCAATACGCCCAGATATTTCAATAAAGCAGACAAAGAGAATAAACAGATAGACATGTGTATCCACTGAAAGAGAAAGGCAAAGGGGCTGTTTTAAAGCCAATATCATGAAAAAGAAAGCTGCTTTTTTTCTCATCAAGAGATTAGCATAGTTGATACTCAATAATTACAAAAACTTTGATTTGGTGTTGAGGTCAAAGATTCAAACATCTGAAATGCAGTGCAGCTAACTTTCAATGTGCCAAAAAATTGCTGTTTTTCTCAGAACAAGTTTTATCTTCAAAGAAAGCTCTTTTTTCTTTCAACATTGAAAGGAAAGGAGCCATTTCACAGCAATATTACAGAAAAAATGCCTTCTCTTTTTTCTCATTGCTAATGACTTCTTCATCACCAGAACTATTCTTTTTCCTTTCAACTTTCTAAGACAGAAGAAAGGGTTCCCATTCCAAGCTAATGTTAGGATCTAGGAGATAGGTTAGCAATTCAGCACAAGGAACCTTAAAATTATTATGCCAACACACAAAGCATCAAGCTAGCAAAACGAAATTTAGGCAAAAAGATATAAAGACAAGAGGTCTAGTGTATGAAAGATCATATATTAAATAAAAATTATTATATCAACAAACAGAAAACTTAATAAAATCAAATAATTTAGGAGACAAAACATTGTTTTTTTGGATGCTGAAGTTTGGTATCGGTTTTGTAAGTGGTTATTAAATTCTGTTTTGCTTGATTTAAACCTTTAATTGCTAAAACCATAGAAACTCAAATGTCACTACAGATACTTAACATTTAATAATCAAATATAAAATTTTTCAACCTCCTCCTCAAATATTTTAATTACTTCAAATAATTAAAGTTAAATCTTAAGAGAACGAGTAAATTGTGCAATTACAAAATTTGGGGAATGATGTCAAACAAAACACATTCCATACAAAGTCATATCAGTCTTCAACGGTTAGAAATAGATCTTTCCCTAAACTTTCATATCTAAACCAAGGTTTGTCCACAAGTCTTTGAAACTTACCAAATTTAATTCAGCCGCAATGCCATACTCTTTCAAAGCTGCTTTCACCATTGGCCAAGCTTCTTGTAAGTACTTTTCTGAGAAAAAAAACAGCAGAAGCTCACACTGAAGAAATTACTAACTACTCATAAAACTAGCAACCAGGCTTTCAAAAGGACACCCTGTTTCATCCTTGAAGTCCCAGAATTCCTTCAAATTACTTGGAAATTGCCAACATAAAAAACAAACAAAGACAACCCCATGGTTTCATCTAAAACCATTGAAGAATATATGAGGATACAATTAGCATGGACAACTAATATTTAAGCGAGCTATTGATTACCAATATTAAGTAATCTCTATGATTTGGAGATACATTAACAATATCCAACTCCATTTGTTTCTCTAAACTGAAAACGAGAAGCAGGCGGAGAAACGGCAACAGCTTGATGGTAGCAGCAACAAGAATACCCAAATTTAGTGAATAAAAAGAGAAGAAACCATCAGTTAAGTACCTCTGTAACGAGGAAAGATGGTAGAGAAGGAACTGACTTCAAGCAAGCCATCTGGGTTCCATGAGGGATCAAATTTCTCAACCTTCCAGTGGTCTATGTTAGGATCCTCATCCCAGGGCTTCGGCTTGTCGTGCTTCCCCTTGTGCTTCTTCTGTTTCACTTCTTCCACTATCATCTCCCCAGTTTCTTGTTCCATCTTCAATGCCATCAGTAACACAATGACGACAGGCAATTTTCTAGAAACCCTAACGTTGGGACTGTATATATAGGTTAGGTTAAAAGTCATCATTGGGTCCCCAAACTTTCTATCATATGACAAGTTAGTCCTCAACGTTCATCAGAGGACTTTTTTTTGTTCACAAATTAACTTTATTTTTTTAGAAGAGAAATAAGAATACAAATTTTATTATTTTTTATTTAAAAGTATAAATTTCAAAAATTTTTAAATTAAATAATAAATTTTTAATTTTTTAAATAAAAATAAAAAAATTATATTTTTTTAATTTAATGATTTATAGGATGAGAATGGTGACATTACAAAGTACAAACACAATATTAATCAAAATAGAGTATCATATTTTTAAATAAAAAATACTAAATCTGTATTTTTAAATAAAAAAAGTAAAAATTTGTTGTTTGATTTAAAATTTTAAATCTTTATATTTTAAAATAAAAAAATGAAAATAATAGTATTATACTTATTTAAACCTTTTCTTTTTTTCCTTTTTTTTTTTTTTTTGGTTTTTTTATGGACAATAGCTCATCATAAATTTACTTTCTTTTAAAGCACTTGCCGCCTAGAATGCTCAATTGGTCTATTTTGGCTATTTGTCCATTTAAACCCACTTAATTGGCTAGGATGAAATTAAATCCTAGTCATTTAATATGTTGGATTGGTTTTGATTGATTCGATTAAATAATATTCAACAACTACATGGCAGTTGATACAGGTAATAGGAATTTGCTAGTCCAACCATGACATTTTGTAGAAATTTGCATTAAATTTCATTTTAATAAAAGGAAAAAAATCATTTTATTTGAATACGTAGTTTAGAAATTTCTTGTATAATAATATTAATTTTATTTAATTTAATTGATAAAAATAACTAACAATTTTAATTATTTATTAATAACAGATAAAATAGTA